GGAAAAGGCTACGAACCTGTGGGGGCGCGTGGCTTCACTAATTACGAAGGCTACGGCAGAGAAACATCACAGACTTGGAGCTGCGCAAGCACCAAAGCTAGATGCTTCGCCAGACCAGGTCTCCAAAACGGCAGTGGCTAGCTATGGGGAGCGGCGCTCTGTGAAGCCCAAACTCCCAATGAGTACCAGCGTGCTGGGAAAACTGCCTATGATGTGGTGCTGTCCACGCGCACGGTATGGCTTTTGTGACAGCGGCGCGCGCACCACGCTGACGCGGCCAAACAACGCGCTACTGGCATCGGTCGGGACGCCACAAGCTCAGGAGGCGGGGATCAACCGAGCGTAAATTAGAAAACCAATCAGATGGCTTGAAGCTGCCGAGTAATCATAGAGCAGACTGGCACGATGCATCTCCCCCTGGTCAGCATCATGTCGACATGTTCGGCCACGGCCGAACTCTTGCGCACCCCGCTGGAACAAGAGGTCCTTTAGAGCATTCTTGCTGCTACTCGCGAGTGCCAGAACGGCCATGTCGCCTGAGACTTCCCATTAATTTAGCAGCATAAAGGAAATATCCAGAGCAGTCTTGCCGCTACTTGCGGAGGCCCCAGGAAATCCCAAAACGATCCAAAGATATTTGACCTGGAAACGTTTTTCGGCCCTCCAGCCCCCAGGAAGCATTTCCTGTTATTTGTTCGTGGAGCTTCTCGACCCCTCCGCTCCCAGGAGGCCCCAAACAACAGTTTTCTGTTCTGGGATATGTGTTCGGGGAGCGCTTTTCGGTCCCCCCGCCCCAGGAGGCCTGGGAGGCGCTTTTCTGTATTGGGATTTTTTTTCGGGAAGTGCTTTGCGGCCACCCGTAGGCTTCGCCCCCTGGCTAGGCTTTGCCCCCAAGGGCTCCACCGCCCCTCTCCTGGGGCTCGAATCCGGTGTTTTACGTATGTTCCTGTAGACTGTCTGTCTGTCTCTCTTCCTCTCTCTCTCTCTCTCTCTCGCTGTCCTGGGGCTCGAACCCTTGATGCGTGTTTACGAATGTCCCTATACTTTGCCACTCGAATTGGGCTGGAATCCTTACTGTTTTACGTATGCTATAGACTGCCTCCCTCTCCTGGAGCTCGAATCCTTCGTGTTCCGAATCCTCACCGTTCCCTAAGGTCGCACTCATTTTTCCCGACCTTCCTGTTGAGTTGGGTCCTCGTTTTGGCAAACAGCGCCCCGAGTTCACTCCTCACTCCTCCTCCCCCTCCTTCCCCTTCCTCCCCATCCTTCCTTCAGCTCTCCGCACCAGTCTACCACTTCGGCATACTCCGCACGCGCTTCGTGGGGAACGCCTGCAAAGGCCCCAGTGGCAAAGTTCGCATGCGGCCCCCCGCCCGCCGCAGATCCATGTCGGCACACCCCCATCACACGTTCCGTGGCCCCCGTAGGGAGCTCCACCGAGGCCCCAACGGCAGGGAGCGCATGCGTTTCCCCGCCCGCCGCATGCCAATTTCGGCACACCCCCTCACACGCTCGTGGCCCCGTAGGGGGCTCCACCGAAGGCCCCAGTGGCAAGGTTCACATGCGTTTCCCCGCCCGCCGCATGTCAATTTCGGCACACCCCTCACACGTTTCGCGGCCCCGTGAGGAGCTCCACCGATTGCCCGGGCGGCAAAAGTTCGCATGCGGTTCCCCGCCCGCCGCATTCCAATTTCGGCACACCCCCTCGCACGTTTCGTGGCCGCATAGGGGGCTCCACCGAAGGCGCGCCGTCCACGTGTTTCCCGCCACACTGGGCACGCGGGGACTCCCCTGCGCCGCGCCTCTAGGAGCCGCCCGACGCCCGCGCGATCTGCTCAGCGCCTTGCCCGTTGTCAGCCACCCGTCTTTCTGGTACGTGCTGCGGGCAACCCGCGCGCGTCGCCAGGACTCCTTCGGGGCGACTGGCGCGCGTCGCGGGGGCTCCTCAATGCGGAGTGCTCAGAACCGCGGTCACCTGGGCGCACGGAAAAAAAAGGGGAACAGTACGGGATGAAGAAATGTGTACAACACGGCGGGGCCCAGGGCTCGGGCCACCGCGGGCAGGAACGCAACGCCGCACACTGGAAATTAGCCTGGCGAAGAACCCAACCATATGCAGTTGTGAGTACCGCAGTTGTGGGTTTCATCTTCAGTGGAACTCCCCATAGGACCACGGAACGTGTGAGGGGTGTGCCGAGATGGGTTCCACTGGAGCTTTCGGTGAAGCTCCCTATGGGGCCATGAAACACGTGCGGGGTGTGCCGACATGGGTGGCGGAAGCGCATGTGAGGGCCGCCACTGGGGCCTTCGGTGGAGCTCCCTATGGGGCCACGAAACGTGTGAGGGGTGTGCCGAATTGGGTGTGCGTGACGCATGCGGGCGGCAGCACTGGGGCCTTCGGTGGAGCTCCCTATGGGGCCACGAAGCCACGTGTGAGGGGTGTGCCGAATTAGGTGTGCGTGACGCATGCGGGCGGCAGCACTGGGGCCTTCGATGGAGCGCCCTATGGGGCCACGAAGCGTGTGAGGGGTGTGCCGAATGGGTGTGCGTGACGCATGCGGGCGGCAGCACTGGGTCCCTCGGTGGAGCTCCCTATGGGGCCACGAAACGTGTGAGGGGTGTGCCGAATTGGGTGTGCGTGACGCATGCGGGCGGCAGCACTGGGGCCTTCGGTGGAGCTCCCTATGGGGCCACGAAACGTGTGAGGGGTGTGCCGAATTGGGTGTGCGTGACGCATGCGGGCGGCAGCACTGGGGCCTTCGGTGGAGCTCCCTATGGGGCCACGAAACGTGTGAGGGGTGTGCCGAATTGGGTGTGCGTGTGCGCATGCGGGCGGCAGCACTGGTTTCGGTGGAGCTCCCTATGGGGCCACGAAACGTGTGAGGGGTGTGCCGAATTGGGTGTGCGTGACGCATGCGGGCGGCAGCACTGGGGCCTTCGGTGGAGCTCCCTATGGGGCCACGAAACGTGTGAGGGGTGTGCCGAATTGGGTGTGCGGGACGCATGCGGGCGGCAGCACTGGGGCCTTCGGTGGAGCTCCCTATGGGGCCACGAAACGTGTGAGGGGTGTGCCGAATTGGGTGTGCGGGACGCATGCGGGCGGCAGCTCTGGGGCCTTCGGTGGAGCTCCCTATGGGGCCACGAAACGTGTGAGGGGTGTGCCGAATTGGGTGTGCGTGACGCATGCGGGCGGCAGCACTGGGGCCTTCGGTGGAGCTCCCTATGGGGCCACGAAACGTGTGAGGGGTGTGCCGAATTGGGTGTGCGTGACGCATGCGGGCGGCAGCACTGCGGCCTTCGGTGGAGCTCCCTATGGGGCCACGAAACGTGTGAGGGGTGTGCCGAATTGGGTGATGGCGATGACGATGATGATGACGGTGGTGATCATGACGTCGATGATGTCGATGATGATCATGGTGATGGCGGTGACGATGATGGTGATGATGATGATGACGACGATGATGATGATGATGATGATGATGATGATGATGATGTTGATGATGATGATGATGATGATGGGAGGGGGGAGGAGGCAGCGGGAGGAAGGAAGGAAGGAAGGAGGACGCGGGGCACTGTCTCTTCAAAACGAGGACCCAACACCACAGGATGGTTGGGAAAAAAGGGAGGCGGGAAAGAGCTGGGAAGGAAACGGGCACAAAATGGCGGTGCGCGGAACTCGCGCCAAACAATGCATCCCCCCGCGAGCCAAGCGGACTTTCTCTCCCAATCAACCCCGCAATCCTTTTTCTGGCCCCTCCTCTGTCTCACCTGCCCCGCGATACTCGAAGCTGCTTGATTAGGGTTGGGTCCTTCGCCCGGACAATTTATGTGTCGTGCGAGTTGGAAGTGGGAAGTTGCCTCAGGAGATGTATTGGCTTGACCTCTTCGGGCGGCAGATCAGGGTGTGAGAGTATCGTTTTCTCGTCATACTGTTCCCACAAGAGGGGATGGCATCATGATGGATGCATGTGGCACCTAGAAGCATGGTGCATGAGGGTCGATTGATTGTTGTCTTTGTTGTGCCATCGGAGGTCTGGGTCCTAGTCTTGCAAGATAAAGAAAGAAGCATAAACGGAAACCTTGGAAGGTCCTCGCGGGTTTCTTGGGTCTGCGCTGGACTCCTTTCTCAAGGCGTGCGAAGCGCGCCGTGGGCGGCGCTGGAGGCGCCGCCCAGATGGGGGCCTCAGCGCCGATCCGAAAAATCCACGCAGACGAAAATTTGAGGTCTTGGCATGACAGAACAGGGTCCTGAGGGAAATGGGGGCCTCGACCCCGGGGCCTCCTCCCACGACCAATTTCTCGGTCCTGACTCGTCTTCTGACGGTCCCAGGGCCCGTGGAGGGCCCCTGGAAGCCAAGCACCGTGAACCACCTTAGGGCCTGTTTCCCTCAAGACCCGGTTCTCTCCATGGCGATGTTTATGCTTCAATCCCAGACCCACGACGTCATGTTTTTTCACTACGTCGACCCCCAAAGGTCTAGACCCATTCTCCGGGACTGGTTTCTCATCCTGAGCTACTTTTTGACGGTCCCGAGGCCCGGCAAGGGCCCCCAAGGCCAAAAATGACGAAAAAACCTCCCGTCGCGATCCTTTCCTGACCCGAGGGGGTCTGGCATTGCTTGGTCCCCCCTCCCCGTGCGGGACCCTGTCGGCCATGCTCTGCAGCACGGTGGCCCTCTCTGCGTCCACCAGCAGGCAGGCGCCAGAGGACAGCCCGGCCAGCAGCATGCCGCCCGCGGCCCCAGCGTGGGGAACCCAGGCGACGCCTGCAGCCGTGGAGGCAAGCGGCCGAGGGCAAGAGCCGCCGCCGTGGCAGCTGCCGTCGCCAGGGCCGCCGCCGAGGCTGTCGCCGCAACCGCCGCCTCCTCCTCCTCCTCCTCCTCCTCCTCCTCCTCCCTCCTCCTCCCTCCTCCTGCTCCCCTCCTCCTCCTCTCCTCCCTCGTCCTCTCCTCCTCCTCCTCCTCCTCCTCCCTCCTCCTCCTCCCTCTCCTCCCTCTCCCTCCTCCCTCCCTCCCTCCCTCCTCTCTCCTCCCCTCCTCTTCCCTCCTCTCTCCTCCTCCTCCTCCTCTCCTCCTCCTCTTCCTCGTCGTCGTCGTCCTCTCCTCCTCCTCCTCCTCCTCTTCCCTCCTTCCCCTCATCCTCCTCATCTGCCTCCTCTGTCGTCGTGGCAGCTGCCGTTGCCGTGGCCGTTGCCGTGGCCGCCGCCAAGGCCGCCGCCGAGGCCACCGCCGCAGATGACCGTCGGCGGAGTCATCGCGGTGGCCGTCGCTGCTGCTGGCGACGGCGACTGGGCGATGCGGCAAACTTGTGCCGCGATGACGTCGGCGTCGGTCTCTGGCACCGGGATCGTCCGGCTTTGAACGATCGCGTCTTTTTTGATGGCGCTGCTCGCTCGATACTGGCCGATTGCGGGCAACTGGCGGAATTCAACCTTGAACGCACGCGCTGGGGTCGCCGCCGTGTCAGCGGGCGCTAGCCTACCGTGTGGGGAGGGGGGGGTGCAGGATGCACGATCAAATGGCGAAGATGCTGCCAGCCCTCATGTTTGCCGCCGCCCCAGTCCCAACACTTGTCCCTGGTAAACCTTGGGGATTTAGTCAACTGGCGGAGAATCATATACCGGATCTGACCACCCACGCTATTTGTGGTAGGTAGCTCGCCGCAATTTCCCTCACCGTAACCCAGAGCGGCCCGTCTCTTACGAATACATTCCTCGGCATGAGCCGCCTCGGCTTCTGGCTCACAATGGGCATCATCAGCACATTGTATACACCCTAGCCTACGACGGTGCAGCTTGGTATAACCTACCTCGGTTTACTACGAAACACCTCAGCATCTGAATAAAACGCATACCAACACACAACACGCACATCAACACAGTGCTCCGATGCAATGATTTTTGGGAACCGTGCTGGTGTCGGGGGCTGGAGACAGCGAGCCAGACGGATTCGTGACGGGCCAAGTCTAAGTCTTACACGCTCTTCTCGTCGCAGAGTGGCGTTGCAAAAACGATGAGGGAAATCAGCGGCACGTTCGCGTCCACATTGTCGGGGCACCTCGTATGGAATGGCCGTTTGAGGTGTGTCAGAGCCAGACTATCGCGACGTAGCAAGCACGGCGCTTGGTGCTCTCACATGGGGGTCGACCAGGCGTGTTACATTCGGAACCCCCACGAGGCCCTGAGCTCCAGAAAATCCAGGGGCGCCCAGAGCGACCCATTGTGCCTCAGGAACCTCAGGAGACCCAATGATCCGCCACTCATACCCAGACAAATCGTACTCTGATTCATTCGCATTCAAGCCCACTCGTACTCAGACTGGCTCATATGCAGTCACACATGCTCACACTCACTCGCACTCAGACGCGCTTACACGCAGGCGCTCACAGACGCACGCGCATTCATACATACATTTCTATATGTAATATGTATAATCATGTATGTATGTATATATATATATAGTTATCTTCCCCATACAGTGCTTGCACTTAGGGGTTCTTACTTCTGTTCTAGAGAGCTAGGCCGTGTCTTCGGTCTGTCGGCTATGTGGCTGCAGTCGCCGCACCGTCGCCGCCCCGTCGACGCCTCGTCGCCGCCCGTCGCCGCCGTTGGTTTGCACCACATAGATCACTCGGGAAACAAATCGCGCCTGCGGCGCGATGTTGGATCGCTCGCAGCACATAGTTCATCACAGAGGTGGCGCGACCACAAGTGTGGCAAAAACTAGAGTGCACAACAAAGATCGTACAACCTCAACGATTGCACAACATATAATGCATAACCGCATAGACGTCACAACACATACTGCGCGACATCGGATGCACAGCATATATTGCACGACATATATTGCTCAGCATAGTTTGCCCAAAACAGCCCGCAGCACACGCACTGCACGACGTTCGTTTCGTGCCTGCGGCGCGTGTTTTTGTTATTGTTGTTGTTTGTGTTTTTGTTGTTAGTGCCCCACATCTACGGCCGACAATCTGCTGTACACCATAGATCGCGCCACATATGCTGCACATCATAGGTATCACTACACATGTTACACAAAATCTATAGCGCAACATAGGTTGCTAGAGACACTTTGTTTTGGGTCCACGCTGGTTAGTCTGAATGTCTTCACCCATACCCAATATCACCTGGGCTTGATCATACATGTCCAGCCCATGTTAGCCACTCATACTCAAAACCCCTCACACGCACAATCACCCACACCCATGCCCATTCGTACCCAGGCCCACTCATACGCAGAATCGCTTGTACTCATAATCACCCGTACCCAACCACTTCCACTCAGAATTACTCCCCAAGACTCGCTCGTACCCAGTCGCTGTTATTCAGATTCGCTGGCAGTCAGGCTCACTTATACTCAGATGTTCAGAAAGGCAAGCGTTAGAACAAACGTGCACGATTTTGACTCTCGGCGTCAGACAATGATTTGAGCGCTTGGGCTCGTGGAGTGAGCGAGGCAATGCTCTGCGTTGTCGCGTTGACGTCATACGAGGCAGAGCAGTTTCGACCGAAGGCGCCTGTGGGCGCGTTGAAGCCATACTCGTCCTGAGACGGTTCTCTCGGCTTCTCTCTCGGGCGTACTGCTGGGCGGAAAAGTCCCCATTGGCAACGAACATGCCCCAACACAGCCAACACGTCAACTGTTGCTGGCCATGCCATGTCGGCTGCAAGGACGCAACTACAATGCAACCGAACCCAAGTGGGATGGCGGCCACGAATATCATGATGTATGATCCAACGCTCCAACACCACATAAGCCATACATTAATTGCCCCAACAATGCAAGCTGCTCAATTTGTGGCTCACAGCGTGAGTGATGGCGGACCGACTTGACACATGTGTGACGACGGCAAAATGATGACGTGAATGTGAAGACGGAAGTTCGAAAGCAATTCTGTGCTGAGAATCCCCAAGAGGCTCCTGGGACTGCACTGTCAAAACTGTCTTTGAAGTCACGTTCGCCTTCGGCAACGCGGCCACGCAGACAGGAAAAGGGATGATCGCCGATGATTCACTTGCAGACGTGTAAGAACAATCAAAGCACTGAGTGTATGAGTCACAAGCTGTCTTCACACATGCAAGCAACACGCATATGCGCATCATGCGCGCGCGTGCGCCCGCATACACATGCACACACGCACTAGCACTCTACGAACGTGCCCTCAGCATGTGCAAGTCGGGCGGCGTTCTGCGCACATGTTGTTGTAATAATGTTTGGCGGACGATCTTCCTGTGTGCCAGCTCCTTACGCCCTCCTTTGACCAGCAGCTCTCGCCCAACACATCCGCCCTATAACTGTATCGAGCTGGAAGCCCGAGGACTCCGACCCTCAAATCTTTCCGCGCAGAAAGTGACTCGCTTTCGCACTCGATGCCCGCCCTTCGCAACGTACAACGGGCCCTCCATCTCCGGCCGCTGCACCTCGAAGCCGGGGGCCCCGCGGCGTGGGGCCCCCCCGGGGCGAGGAGGCCCGGACCATGCTGGACTCAACCTGGAAGCTCTCTCCGGCGTGTTCTCCGGGCGCCCCTTTCGCCTCCTCCCTTCCTTTGCGGCTCCTCCTCCTCTCCTCCTCCTCCTCCCTCCTCCTCCTCCTCCTCCTCCTCCTCCTCCTCCTCCGCCTCCTTCTCCTCCCCCTCCCCCCCCCCTCCTCCTCCTCCTCCTCCTCCTCCTCCTCCTCCTCCTCCTCCTCCTCCTCTCCTCCTCCTCCTCCTCCTTGTCTGTCTCTCTTCCCCTCTCTTGCACGCCGGCCACTGCGCCGTTCGGCTGCCCCGAGTCGCCGCTCGCTGGTGCGGACCGCCTCCGCCTCGCCGCCGACGAAAGAAGTGTTCCCTTTGGGCGCCGTCCCTCGGTGCCCCATCTTCGAGCCCCGACGACCTTCCTCCCAGATCTGGTTCGAACCTCGATCCTCCTGCGCGCCGCCGAGGGGGGCTGGAAGAACGAAGGCAATTGCGTGTGTGTGTGTGTGTGTGTGTGGGTGTGCGTTCCGTCCCCCCGCACCCTCCCCCGGAATGCTGTTTCTTGTGCTGCGCCCTCATGGGCCGGGGGCCCACGCTCTCTCCTCGTCGCTGCCTGGGCAGCGTGCCCGTCGGAGGTTGGCTCCGGCCGCCTCCTCGCCGGGGAACTCTCGGGCCGCGTCCCGCCTCGCCCTGCTGGTCCCCCCCCTGGCCGCCTGTTGCTGGCCCACCTCATTCGTCGCCTCGTCGCTGCCATCTGGCCTGCTTCGCCCTTTCACTCTCGCTGCCCATGCCCAGGTACGCGCACGGCCTGGTCGATCCTATTCGGATCCCTGCCCCATCTTCTGAGGGGCCGACCGCGCGCGCTCTCTAGGGGTGCATGGGAATTCTCTCCGCTTCGTCGCTGCGCGCGAGGCCGCGATCGCTAAAACGTGTTTTTTTGTTTGTTTGTTTGTTTGTTTGTTTGTTTGTTTGTTTGTTTGTGTGTGTGTGTGTGTGTTGGAACGGGCCAGAGAGCCTAACCCACACAATGTTTGTAGGATGGAGGCTATGCGGATGAGGACTTCCTCCGGGCGGAGCCGATGTCAGCCAATGCCAGCGTCAATACCCGCGCCCAAACAGTGGGAAGAGATAAGGTACGTTGGTGGCGCTGCCGCCACGCACGCAGCGTCGCGGCGGAGCCGGTTGAAGAACACCCGCTCGCAGCAGCATGGCGGCGGCGGCCGGGCACTCCGGTGGCCCAGCGGCATCGCACATGGTCCACCCGTGGGGAACAAGGGTGCGCGGCAATCGCACGGGGGACGGCCAAGAGAAGGGACGAAAAGGTAGTGTGCGCAATGCCCGGATGCAGACGGAAAGCGAGAGAGGATACGGGTAAACCCACACATGCGCACCGCACGCACACGTGTACACACACACACACGCACACACACGCACACGCACGCACGCACGCACGCACAGACGCACACACACGCACACACACACAAACACGCACACACACTCACACACACACGCACGCACGGACACACGCACGGAC